TGCTCACCTTGAGATGCCATGTCCTACCTGAAGACAAAGGGTGAGGAACATACATCTTAGACTAATCTCAGTGTGAAAGCCAGGAAGCTATGCTCTGATTGCCAGCAGAGTACGCAGTCACTTCGACAATCCTGATGTGAATAATGCTGCCATTTTTGTTAGCAAATCCTCTGCTCGTAATGTACACTGCATATGTATAGAAAATTTTGTAAAAAGAAAAATAGAAAAATTCTCCAACACTTTAATCATGATATTGCAAAAATTATAACCAGCAATCACGATAGAGAATCCTTTTTGCTTTCCATTAGTATAACTGATGCTAACCTCCAAGATAGAAACTCATTGCACCTTCTTGGACTCAGGTTTCCCACTCAAATGATGTGGAGCGATTCTACTGAATCAATCGCTAAGTCTGCTGCTAGGAAAGTGTTATGGTCTTGTACCACGATGATAGTCCAAGGTAGAACCAATAAAGAAAAATACGGATATGGAATAACAGATATATTACAAACAGGAATATATACAGAGAAGTAGGAAGTGTTAGTACGAACAATCCAGGTTTACTAGTAATTGTCTGAATGCAACTCTGTTTCGGACTGCATCTGACTTCACTGACTCACTCACTCTGACTGACTGACAGACTCCTGATGAATTTCTGATGGACCTCACTCCAGATTTCAGACTGAACAGTATTTAGTCCCCCCCCACGAGGGCATCATGTGGCATACGGCCAGTTTAACGTGGGATCTCCGAGCCCGTGGGCTTGGCCAAAAATATGCCCTTTGAACCTGTATAAACGGGCTCAGGGACAGTTTACCTCCCCGAAAGAGACTTCACCCTTCAGTGTAGCCTCATTCGGGTTCCTCCCCACCCAAAGGCAGAGAGTTCAGCTGGTCGCCCGACTTCGGACTGAACTCCCTGCTTCCTCTTGAGGTGCAGTATTTATTACATATGGAATAGTCCATTATGTTCTTATGGGTAAGGTCCCATAACAGAAAGTTTATCCACTGTCTCATGCTAGACAATTTTTCTTGTTTACAATCCATCTTACACATAAGTCTACCATTTATCCATGCATTGAATATTGCTGCTAAATCTGGTCTGGTACTCTTGCTATCTATCTTGAGATTCTTGACAAAATCCAAAGAAGGTTCTGTTATGTTATCAATCCTGATCTGGCATCTTGACTTCAGTCACTTTCCCACTGCCATGATGTTGATTGTGTCTCTGTCTTTTCTATAAATATTTTCATGGCAGTTGTTCCAATGAACTCTCCGTCTAGGTACCTCGACCACATGAATTTAAGCATGTGACTAGATTGGCAAATAGGTCTCGTTTTACTGGGCAATTAGCAAGATGTAACTGTAACTTCTATTCTAATAGTGTCTTTTCTCACACTTCTCACCTGTGGAACTCTCTTCCAGTTTCCTCTTTCCCTGACACCGACAATCTTCAAAAATTTAAATTTGGCATTAATCGCCATATCCTGAATCCTGTTTTTTTTTATTGTCATTTTTTCTCATTAATGTCTTCTCATTCTCTTTCACTCCTAGTAACCCCTTGCGTCTTAGTGACTTTATCACCTTGCTTGGGATGAAATGATCTAAATCTCAGTAAGTTTGGGCATAAAACATTGGATCAAATTCATAGAAGAAAAATGCACAAAGTACTGATATAGATATATTAATAAGTTAGTAGTCTATTAACATAAAAAAAGCTTCCAATTTACATGACACGCTTAGTTTTCAACATAATCTCCTTTATAAATATACTTAACCAAACACTTGGACATTAATTGTATAGATTAATCATTATATTGAAATCTGGGGTGGGGCAGGGAGCTCCTCAGTCCTGTTGGAGGAACCCCACCATGATTGACCATGTCTTCAGAGTTGTAGCTGTACTCACCACGCTTGACCAATCACAGGTTGGTGGGGCTATTTAACCTATATTTGGGGAGAATGGCCTTTGACTCTGAACAGTTCATCTATCCTTTAACAGTTTTTGTTTTTTGTGTTGCTGGGGATCCACTTACCCACCCCACTAGAGCAGTGCTTGGGGGACAGAACTGGTTTATTCGCCAATCACCCAAGTTTTTGAATTTAGTGTTATCCTTCTTTTAGACCAGTTGCTATCCAAGGCTATATGACCCAGTCTGTCCTGCTATTTACCCATAGCTGGTGGAAAAAGAGATGGATTCATAATGAACTGGAATTCAAACTCAGCCCTCAGACAGTCTTTACTTATATATATCTCAAAAATCACTGTATATATATATATATATATATATGTAAAATATATATATATATATATATATATATATATATATATATATATATATATATATATATATATATATATATATATATATATATATATATATATAAAAAAATCACTATATATATATATATATATATATAAAATCACTATATATATATATATATATATATATATATATAAAATATATATATATATATATATATATCAAAATATATATATATATATATATATATATCAAAAATCACTAATATATATATATATATATATCAAAATCACTATATATATATATATATATATATATAAAAATCACTATATATATATATATATATATATATATATATATATAGCCTGGTAGGCCAGATAAAATAAAATATTTTTTGTTAAACATAGACATATCAACAAGTTTGAAGCCTTATGATGAATAAATGATCCATTTTTTTTTTTTTTTTTTTTATTTGTTTTTCTTCATAATTTCTTTCCTTGTCAATGCACTTAACCCAGATCAGCAACTGGGAAATTTCAGAACAAAATTCAGCTTATCACTATATGTCAAGCTACAGACTTACTGATTTTATTTTATTTTATTTTTTTTTTTTTGTTCAGGTTTGTCTTTTTTTTTTTTAAATAGTGTTACATTAAAACCTATTTCCTAGTATTTTGCTGGAAGCCCAAAAGAAAAGTGTAGAATATGAATTTTTCCCTGGAATGTGTTTTTGAAAATTTTTTTTTTTTTTTTATTTAATTATCACCATACAATTTTGTTGAATATGTTTATGGAACAAACACCTGTGTGGATGCTTTTCTGAATACTGTATTCTTAGCCACTTCTAAGCTCAGTTATTATCTATCCTAAATATCCTCATAATATTCACTTCCTGCTTTTTTCCCTTACACATCGTTGAGTAACGCTATATGCAGGAGGGGGCTTTCTGTTTATTGAACTTCAGTTAAAAAAGAAAAGTATCAATTTCAGGATTTTGAAACGTTTTTTTTTTTAAAATACAGGAAGTCTCAAAAAATGTAGTCACTCTTTAAATTACAATAAATGCGGTGTCTATTGTCTTGCAAACAAGATTAATGGTTAAGAAATATTAATGTTTATTGATTTACAAAGATTAAAAGATTAGCAGAGATTAACAGATTAAATTAAAAATAAAATGAAATAAAAAGAATAAATCTGAAAAGGTAACCAAATTCAAGAAGTTATAAGAAGTCAAAAAGTGAGTACTTTTATTTTTTTATTTTTTTTATTTATTTATTTATTTTTTTTGGAACACTCTGCATATGTTATTGTAATTTTCCAAGCGTATCTCAGATGTGGCATAAGGCCGAAAGCATGTGACACCCAGTGACGATCAAAGTCACTGCTCAGTTGTAATTGTTCTAGCGAGACAAGCTTGCTAACCATTACACAACGTCAAGGTGCCAAAATGATTTACTAAGCGTAGCTTAGATGTGGTATTAGGCCGAAAGCATGGGGCACCTAGTGAGGATCAAACTCACTAATGAGTTGTAATTGTTCTAGTGAGACAAGCTTGCTAACCATTACACCACGTCGAGATTCCGAAATGATTTACTAAGCATAGCTTAGATGTGGTATAAGGCCGAAAGTATGGGACACCCAGTGAGGATCAAACTCACCAATCAGTTGTAATTGGTCTAGTGAGACATGCTTGCTAACCATTACACCACATCGAGGTGCCCACCCTGTATATGTTATTTGCAGTAGGTTAATAATTAAAAGTTAATTAATTTAAAATAATTGAAATTTGCCCAGTTTAAATTAACCATTTATTAAAAGGCAAATTTAAACCGGGCAATACAGGATAACCTTGTTTATAAGCAAACCAGGGATAAGAGTGTTTGGGTCAATTAATTTTTGTCTTGTCTGTCATTATTGTTTCTTTTCACTTGAACGTTTCTTCCTCTTTTTAAGGCAAAGATGGCTGTTATTAAAATAAAAATTAAATAAGTAAACAAATAATAATTCCAGTGTTTTTCTTTTTTTTTTTTTTTTTTTTTTTTGTTGAGGTGTGTGTGTGGGGGGGGGGCATTAATACAAGAAATGACCAGTTAGAAAAGTTCAAGGTCCCCAGAGGATAGGATACCAATTAGAAATGTCATGTGGTGGTCTGATGGTGTGGGTGTGGGGGATCATGCTTGAATCCTTTTCTTCTTGCTAAGAAGGGGATGAAGAAGTTTAAATAATAAAATTTAAATAATTAGGGGTGAATAATTACTACTGACAAACTGGGGACAGGGACTTAGGGTGGTTGTAGTGGTGTTTGAGTTAGTCAAAAGCTGATAGCAACGGCAACACTCACTTTAAAGATGGTGTCAACTGTGTCGGGAGGGAGTTGGGTTAGTTCACAATAAAATGGAAGGCAAAAAAAATAATTGGTCAACTTGTACAATTGATGGCAGAATGACAAAAAAGAAATAACTAAAAAAAAGATAGCAGGGAAAGTAACTACAACAACTAACGATGATCAGTAACAGAAAATAAAGGATAAACAAATGATTGCTTCTAATTAAAGAGTGAAATCAACATGAGTACATTCAGGATAATCAAACACATTCAAGTGGTGAAGCTTAGAATGAACAGCTTATTTAATAGGTCCAGTCATAAATAATTGTTTTAATTTCTTTAAAAAAAAATAAAGATGAAGTACAATGATATTTGATTCAAATATATATTCACCATTATTTGCAATGACTTCTTATACATTCTCAGGCAGAAGCTTTTGAAATAAACAGACTGAGAATGATGGAGAGAGAGATGAGAAGACCGAGAATGATAGAGAGAGAGAGATGAGAAGACCGAGAATGATAGAGAGAGAGAGAGAGATGAGAAGACCGAGAATGATAGAGAGAGAGAGATGAGAAGACCGAGAGAGAGAGATGATGATAGAGAGAGAGAGATGAGAAGACCAGAATGATAGAGAGAGAGAGAGAGAAGACCGAGAATGATAGAGAGAGAGAGAGAAGACCGATGAGAGAGAGAGAGAGAAGACCCATGATAGAGAGAGAGAGAGATGAGAAGACCGAGAATGATAGAGAGAGAGAGAGATGAGAAGACCGAGAATGATAGAGAGAGAGAGAGATGAGAAGACCGAGAATGATAGAGAGAGAGAGAGATGAGAAGACCGAGAATGATAGAGAGAGAGAGAGAGATGATAGAGAGAGAGAGAGATGAGAAGACCGAATGATAGAGAGAGAGAGAGATGAGAAGACCGAATGAATGATAGAAGAGAGAGAAGAGAGATGAGAAGACCGAGAATGATAGAGAGAGAGATGAGAAGACTGGAGAATGATGAGAGAGAGAGAGATGAGAAGACCGAATGAGAGAGAGAGAGAGAGAAGACTGAGAATGATAGAGAGAGATGAGAAGACTGAGAATGATAGAGAGAGAGAGAGAAGACCGAATGATAGAGAGAGAGAGAGAGATGAGAAGACCGAGAATGAGAGAGAGAGAGATGAGAAGACCGAGAATGATAGAGAGAGAGAGAGAGATGAGAAGATGAATAGAGAGAGAGAGAGAGATGAGAAGACCGAGAATGAATGATAGAGAGAGAGAGAGAGAGAAGACCGAGAATGATAGAGAGAGAGAGAGATGAGAAGACCGAGAATGATAGAGAGAGAGAGAGAGAGATGAGAAGACCGAGAATGATAGAGATGAGAATGATAGAGATGAGAATGTTAAGACCGAGAATGATAGAGAATGATAAGACCGAGAATGATAGAGAATGATAAGACCGAGAATGATAGAGAATGATAAGACCGAGAATGATAAGAGATGAGAATGATAGATGATAGAGAGAGAGAGATTTGATAATATGATCCAAATGAAGCAT